TTGCATTATTTTCATGAACAAAATCTTTGAATAATTTGACAAATTTCATGACATTTTTCAAATAAAATAAGAACTATTTTTATTTGCCCGGTTTTTGTGCCAGACTTTGAAAACACAGCCCTATTATTAATTATTATTATTAAAGTTTCTATTCAGTGTATGTTTTTTCCTTTGACACGGTGTGGCTGTGTGTATCACCTGCTGTGTGACTATATTTCAAGCATGAGAACCCTCCATATTTAGTCTATTGATAATTATTTTTGTCTGTGATAAATCCAAGTTATTTTCATAAAAAGAAATAGTCTCACTGCAAGAGGATCTCACTCTGCAGCATCAGAAGTGGGATCTAATCAGGAGCACACATTTAAACATGTACTTAACTATAATTGCAGAGGGAATACGCTAAACATACTCAGACTCTAGCATTGTCTAGCACTTTGGCTGAGTTTTAAATTGGCTGATGTAAGGGTGTAATGAGGAGTCCGTGAAGCTGAATTACAGTAAAGCATCCCTTATGACATATGCTGCAGCTGAATAGGTTGGCCTATAGCAAAAAATCAAGCTCTCTGACCTATTGTGTGGAATGAAAAGCAAGAGACACTTTTTTTCCTTCAGCTAGCCTTAAGGAACAATGACTATATAAATCTGACTGTCTTGTTACCTTTCGTTTTCTATTAACAAAATGGTATATGTGGATTTAGTCGCTGAACTGACAGCCCTTGAGTCTGAAGAATGAAATCCTCTATATATCCAAAGCAGATATAGCCAAGGCAACAGCAATGACATTTTCTTGCACTCCTCCAAGTATGTGTGTGTGTTCTGGGATGGAGGGACAACCTTTAGTAGTAAGAGGGGTAGTTCAGCCTCCCTGCTCTTTAACTGTTTGATCCCATGCCATTGTTGTCAAATGGGGTTGGATTGGGCCTGCAAGCTTTGCCCAGTCTTCTGCGACTTCCAACAATTAGAGCCAATTCTGAGTTCTTCAGCGTGTTTCTTAAATAATAATGGCCAAACTCTGCTCCTGGAGGCAAGTTTCTAGTGAGGTCAGTCTGAGGGGAGGACTTGCATCCAATGGCCCTAACAGCTTTCTACATATCTTATCTGAGAATGCTGTAGTACTTTGACAATGTGTGCACTGATGGGCAAAAATATTTTTGCAGTTAAAGCAAAGTTGAACAGCTTCTTTTATAATAGCAGGTATAAGGCTGACTGATTAGCCTTCCATGCTGTGACAAGAAAAGGGGCTTAGAAAAGCTGGGATGCTATTGACATGCAGTAAGCAGAAAAAGTCTTGTACTGTCTAGCTGCATCTACATTAACAAGCTTTATAGCCACAGTTCACAGTGCAGCTCCAATGTTCGTAAAGGTAAAAGCTGTAGAGTAGACAGAGCTCAGGTGTTACTACTTAAACCAACTCCGACAACCTTAATCTGCTGTATGGTGGAAAAAGCATGTGAGACGTGTCTACACTATATAGCTTTCTCCACTTCTATCTTTCATAGAGGATGGAATTATAGCTACAAAATGTGCAAGCGTAGATGAGGCCATTAATAAACATGACTAATCCCATCAGACTCTGATACCGCCACTGCTGCTTGACTAGTGAGAGACCTTTGAAGTTGACAGTTTTTTCTTTGCTGCTGCCAACATAAAAATACTAAAAACAAACAAATCAGCAGCAAGATCTATATATTTAGTAAAATAAAAAATGAGCAAACGTGGTAAGAGCTAATATTCCATCTGGTGTCGGGGGATAGGGGGGTTTAATCTTGCAGTTAATGTCAACTCCAAAAGTAATTTTCATGTTTTGTTTTTACAAGATGTTGTAGTACACAGAGAGTGTATGGTACACGAAGACAATCCCAGATGAAAAAGGTAAACAATTCTCAAACAGTTATTGATATTGGACCTCAATTCGGAGGTCAGTGAGTTTTTTGCCTTAAGAAACCCCCCCCAAGTTTGGGCTAATTGAAACTGAGTCCAGCCCATATCTTTGCCCATCCTTTGAAATGAAGAGGGTTTTTGTCTATTTTTTTTGGTTCCATCCTTTCCCGTTCCCCACCCCCAATATACTTCCATCTCTTTACTTCTTCGATATAGATGGGGCCAGAATTGAAAGCGCTGAAATAGTCTTAGAGGCTGATGTCATTTCCAGCCACCTGAGCAAAAACCCGGAAGTTATAACAATAATTCACGCTCCTCTTGTTCTTACTGTCAGATGATGTGCTAGTGATTAACAAGCATTAATGAATTAAGAGGCAGGATGGCCTTGTGGTTTAGGCACTAGATTTGTGATTCAGGTGACTTGAGTTCTCTTCCTGACTCTACTACAGACTTCCTGGGTGACTGTGGGCAAATAGGTTCACCACTTTCTGTGCTCCCTCTGGTAAATGGGGATAATATTTCTGTACCTCACAGGGACATTTTGAGGACAAATTCATTAATGTTCTCAAAGTGTGGTAAGGAAGGCTGTATAAGTACCTAGACTGGATAGCTAAATTATAAGTATTACCACACTTCGTAAGTATGGGAACAGATGCCTAGAGAGGGTAAGTGACTTGCTCAATGTCACACAGCAAGTTTAAGGCAGTGCTGGAAATATGCCCCTGGTGTCTGATTCTTAGTCTCATGCTTAACTGCTGGATCATGTTTTTCCTGCTTGTGAAAGAGCCTGTTTTCTGGAGGCCTGAGCCCGATTGTGTAGCAAACTGATTCAGATAAACATCAGGAACGTCAAGGTTCTTTACCAAACCAAGCTTTTAAACATTCTGGGTTTTGTCTATCACTACTGAAAGTGTTCCTTGCTGAATTGCAACATTGAAGTCTCTTCACCTGGTGACTAGGATTATTCATCATAGGAACCATATTCCTTATTCAGCCATAGGAAACCGTGTCTCTGCTGTCTAAACATTTTTGCAGCTTTAATGAAATTGTGCTTCTTTTGAAGGGGGAAGGGAAATAGTCCAAGGCAAAGCTGATCATTTTCTCATACTTTAACAATACTATTTTTATAAAATAGGGGTTGGATTTGAAATGTAGTTAAAGTACCGTATATTGAGGCTATTGGAATGGACACTGTTATAGGAACCCATCAGTCAAGAGTGGTTTTAATTTACTGTAAGAACATCAGCCTGTGATATGCCTGTTCATTTTCTTTTTCTGTTTTGTTTTAATAAACTTTCATAAAAACTTTAGTTGAAACAGAATGTTCCTTATAGGTCCAAGACTGTAATTCATAGTAAATAAAACAATGGGCTATTGTTCTGGTGTACTAAATGAGCAGAAAACATGTAAGGGAATGCTAAATGTGGTTCTGAGAACTGGAACATAAAATTTGTATGACCTCATGACTGATAGGTCTCTATTCCTAGCGGGATTGTGTGTCTGACTGGGAAGCCATGATAGCTCCTCTAAGGTTTGGCCAGAAGCCTGGGAGCAAAACTAAAACTTTGTTACATATTGTATTCATTCAGCGATCATCAAAACTTTAATTTTAAGATGAGAACATCAGCAGCAAATAGGTGTGCAGCTCGAGAATTCATATTTCTGCTTTATCATACACCATAATTCTTATTTAGATCGAACTATTTCTTTTTCCTCTGGGGGCCAAGTCCTCATTGTAGTAAGTTTAGCTGAAATTTTTTGAATGGATCAGGAAATACAGTTTTGCTGAAATTGAAACGTTTCAAGAATGTATGGATCCTAACTACATTTTCAATGGAAAAAAGTCTGTTTTGAATTATTTCATTTTGAAAATGTTCAAACACTTCATTTGAACGTTGAAACACTAAAATAAAAGTCAGAGTACTAACTTGAATGCATCTCATTATTGTGAGGTGGATGTAATAGAGCAATTAGTGCATTTGGGGGCACCTGGAGGGTGGGCCAGGCTCAACTGAAGATTAAATTTATCTGGGGGAGAAGATGGGTTGTGGGCATGAAGGGAGCAAGCCCAGATGACAAGGAAATGGTACAGAGGGGCAAAGGAAGAACTCTGCAGTCCCCCTCTGGTTCTTAGAGTGGAGAAAAAGCCTAGATGGAGGCAGACATATGGTAAACCTAGCGGAAAGAACCTGAAGGAAGGCCAAGATAGAAGGAGTCCAGGGAGGCAGCAAGGAGTCTGAAGGAGCAGACTGTAGCTGCTTGCCACAGGGTCCCTGGACTGGAACCCAGAGGAGAGGAGGACTTAGGTTTCCCTACTGGTCCACCAGGAGAGTTGGAGTGGAAACACCTTGGCACAAAGAGAATTACTGAGTTTGGAACCTGGTCTCCTGTGAGAAACCCTGGGTTCCCACAAGAGCAGGAGGACAACCCTGCAGAGCCTGGGAAAGGGTAAAATTATGTTTATTTTATTTAGCCTTTGTTCACCCTGAAGGGCAGGAGTAGGGAAACTAAATGTAACCTAGCTACAGGGCCAAATCACAAGAAGAGGCAGACCACCACAAAGCTGCACTGGCTGTTAGCAGGGGGGGTGCCAGAGGAGGAGAGACCGCTATGCCACTCCTAGGGAGGGGGTGTCTGTGTGTGTGCGCCAGTGGTGAGTGAGTCTACTCTTCTGCAGTGATAGATATTTTAATAGTGTCAAAACAATAAAATATTAACTGTTTCAGAATTTTTGTTCTACAGGAAACTTCAATTGGCTTTTTGTTCTAATTTGGTACAAGTGAGTACTGCCCCCGTGCTGCTCCTCCTCTCCCCACCTCAAAAATTGGAATTTCTCATATTGCTAGTCAGAAACCAGAATCTCTGTTCCAGTATCCAGGCTGAGCAACTGGGATGGGCAGATGCACAGGAAGCCAGAATTAGAACGATCCACCCACCTCCACGGTGCAGCTACACAGCAGATTGTGTAAGTTACTTCTGCCCAATGACTCTGTGCTCTTGTACACCCCCCAAGGAGGGTTGGGATGGACAACTGGACACTCCACACAGTAATGCAATCTCCTTGGCTTGGCCTTACCTCCACCCACCTTTGGGCAAACTGCAGGCATGCCACTTACCGAGCCTTCCAAACACAGCCCCAGTTGCACAGCAAATTTCATCTGTTTCTGCTAACAGTGGAGATCCTCTGGAGGCAGGAGGCAGCATTTTTTCCCTTTAAATCATAAAAGTTAGAGTTAAACTAACAGGCAACAACTAAGATGTCTGTGTGTCAGCAGAGTTAGCTTGGGACCTGCCATTTGTGAGTGCAGCAAGACTTAGAATGATCCTTCTCCAAGCCTACCCACACCCCATCCAAAGCCTTTCTTATCACAATGTTGTATGGAGCCTGTTCCCTGTGGGGAACATGAGCTATTACTTTCTCAAAGACAGTTGGAATTTAAGGGCTTCAAGAATGTGCTGGCCATGTACGAAGATCCATTTTGTAAAATTCCTCTTATTTCTATTTTCAGTGGTCAGCACCATCCTGCATAGACTGTTGAGAAAACACACCTTGACAAATCCCACAGCCTGAATAGTTACCCAGGATAATTTAACCCTTTAGTTCAATGAGCTACCTCAATAGCCCATTGTGAACTACCCAATGATCAAAAGGTTCCCCTACTCTCAGAGGACTGGAAATGCTTTGCTCACACAGAGCCAGCTCTCAACTAGTGCTGGGCAAAATTTTTCGTCAAACTTTTTTCAGCAAAAATGTAGATTTGGTGACACCAAAACATTTCATGAATTTGTGTAGGTTTTGCTGAATTGTTCACATTGGAGAAAACAAACTTTTTTTAGCATTCCAGAAACAAAACATTCAGATTTTTCAGTTCAAAATCACTTTTCATGTAGAAATTTCCTTCGATTTTATTAAAAAGTAATAAACTCCAAAATGGTTGAAACTGAAACAATATACCTCATTTTTTGTGTTAAATAAAACATTGTTTGATCCAGAATACTTTTCTGACTCTCCGGTAGCCAAAAACCTAATTCTGGTTTGACACAACTGGTTTTTGTTATTTTTATTTTTTCAGAATTGCCACTGAGCTGAAAACTCTGTTACTCAGATAGCTCCTCTGCCAGCTGGCTCTGTAGCTTTTCCCATACTTATCTCACATCACCTTCTAGGCCTGCCCCTTCAGAGTCCGCCCTCTGTGCGATGCAACTTCAGCTATTTGTGCTCATCTGGCACAACTACAGCTGCTCAGTGCAAGCTGCCTAGGAGGACAGCCCTCCTTCCGGGTTATCCTGCTATCTACTCTGCTTGTCTTGCTATACTTGCTCCCTGCACACAGTCCATTCCTCACAGCTTGCCATCCTAACTCCCTCCTGCTCCTACTTCTCTTTTAGCTGCAACTCTTTTTTCGGCAATCCCTTCAACTCCTGAAAAATATACAGGAAAGAAGGGTTAAAATAAACCTTCTCCTCCCTCACCTGCCATCTGTTTAGAGTTATAGCTGAAGCAGAAGGGATTATTTTTTTACAAATGGGTTTGTGGCAAGTACAAAACTGCTTTGCTCTACAGACCCATTATCACTCATTTAATCTTTCCTTTTTTGTTTTTACTATTCAAACCATCTGTGCCTCTGATTTTATCAATTTTACTTCACTATGCTTTTTTCCCAGATTGTTCCTTTCCCTCCAGCACTGGACAAAGTGTCTAAAAACTCCATTGGTTTGGACATTGGTGCACCTTATCGAATACCGACTTCAGTTTGGAGATGAAAGGGTGTTGAGGGCAAATGTTTAAACCAGCTGCAGCCTATGGCTGGATAAAGATTTTTAAAAATAATATAATGAACATATGGTTTTGAAATTTTAAAACTTGGCACTAAAGCTACTTTAAAATAAGGCCTAGATTATCCCTGGCACTTGCATGACTCCTTAGGGAGGGAGGGAAGAAGAATATGAAAAGAGCTTTCCCTATCTTGAAGATCTTGTGATCTCTCCACACCCCTCTTTTGGAGTTTGCACAGAGAGGAGGGCAGAGAAGTTGGGTCCACAGACCTTCCCTGGCCTGTGGAGCTGGCTAGGCATACCCAGGGGAGCAGTGCATGCCTCCTGTGAGATAATCCAAACTCCAGCTGTGCCACAGAGCTCCACACTACCCCCAATGCAGACCACGTTATAATCTGGCCCTAAATCAAGCTCCGTCCACTAACTCCCCCTAAACTTGCAATAAGGACTGACTCTTCGGCCGGATGAGTGGCTTGTTGGTTGGGTTCAGCAGTAACACAAAATCAGCTTTCCATTGCTGAGCTCTGCAGGAGGATGTGATCCAGGACAATGCCAGCATTTTGGGATGGGCCAGTAAAGCTATTCTTCAGACTTCCCATCAAACTTAACTAACTTCTGTCCAACTGTACACCACTACACAAAGGACCAGGCTTAGGAAAAGGTCAGTAAGACGATTCCTTGGGCCCCTCACAAAATTAACTGACTTATATAAAAGTTAAGGGATCTTCAGGGTGCCACCCATCTCCTGTGTCAGAAGTGTCTCCTGCTCTTTGGGTCTGTGAATAACTGCCAACAGTTACACTCTTATTTTCAAGGGATAATTCATCAAATCAACAAGGTTTCTAGAACTGTTAAGGTTTTATCCCCCTAAAGATTTTATGGGCATTCTGGTGCACCTAGCAAAATGTCGGTAGTACAGAACAGTAACAATGAACAACAGAACCTAAAACACACCATCTTTTGCTCTGTGTATCTTAACCACAGAATCCAGAGTAGCCAGAAACATTTATATAATTACTGGTCAAAATTGCCATCCATGCTGGGACTCTTTCTGGTCTATTCTCCATAGGCAGTTAAGGTTGAAAATGTGATTGTCCCATTTTTTGGGGAGCTGGTTAATTCTCCTTTTCTCTCAGTTTAATGAAATATTGCTGCTGCAATTGTCTTAAATCATTTCTCCACATGCTGTTTGTTTTTGAACTACTGTTCCTTAGGCTTCCCATTTTTACTCTCTTGGCTTTTAAGTGTATCTGGCAATCAGCTGGCTAATATGTTTAGTATGAACTTGCTTTAATATAAATCAAAATACCAGTCTGAGTCAGAACTGAGACTAGAACTTATTTCAAATGCAAGCTAAAAGTCTAATAGATCAGTGATTCTCAACCTTTCCAGACTACTGTACCCCTTTCAGGAGTCAGATTTGTCTTGCATACCCCAAGTTTCACCTTACTTAAAAGCTACTTGCTTACAAAATCAGACGGAAAAAAGACAAACGTGTCACAGCACCCTATTACTGAAAATTACTTATTTTCCTCATTTTGTCTGTATGAAATTTTAGTTTGCACTGACTTTGCTAGTGATTTTATGTACTTGTTGTAAATCTAGGCAAATATCTAGATGAGTTGATGTACCCCCTGGAACATCTCTGTGTACCCCGAGGGATACATGTATCCCTGGTTGAGAACCACTGCTGCAGGGCCGGCTTTAGCAAGAGTGGGGCCCGATTCCTGGGGGCATGGCTTGCCGCAAGCCCCGCCCCCAGGAATCGGGCTGCACTCTGGCCGGAGCTGCAGCCGGGGTCGTGGGGCTTGGGCCCAGCCCGAGCCGAGCCGCGGGGG